GCCCCAAGGTCTCTGAGCGAGGGGAGGAGGGGGGCCAGTGCCACACAGAGGGCTCGGGGGCTATCCTCGCCGCCACGCCCGAGGCGTGTTCTTCCTCACCCGCCACGACGGCCGCCTCGAGACGTGGGACTACTTCTACCGGATGAACGAGGTCTCTCTGTCGCAGAAGGTGCGTGCTTGGCTGAATTCTCCCTCTCCTCCCTCCTCATCCTCCGCCTCCTCCTTTTTTCTCCTCCTCCTCCTTTTCCACCTCCCTTTCCTCCTCGTCCTTCTCCTCCTCCTCCTCACCCTCCTCCTCCTCCTCCTCCTCCTCCTCCTCCTCCTCCTCCTCCTCCTCCTCCTCCTTGTTTTTCCTCCTTCTCTTCCTCTTCCTCCTCCTCCTCCTCCTCCTCCTCCTCCTCCTCCTCCTCCTCCTCCTCCTCCGTGGCCATCTGGGCTCTGGAGGGTGCGCCGCCCGGCCGCGGCCCTCCTGCTCCGCGCGCGCGCGCTGCCCCGCGGGTGGCGAGCGACTGCCGCGGCGCCTCCACGGCGCGCGGCGGCGCAGGCGGACGAGGCGGCATCGGCGCCCGCCACGGTGCCTCGATGGCCCATGCGCAGGATGCCCAGACCCCCTCGAGTCATGAAAAATCACGACGGGAGGTGCTTCATGATGTTTGGCCCCTGGGGGCCCTTACTGGCCCTCGGGGCCGTCAGAGAACGACTCGGGATGAGAAACTGGGGAGTGGGTCCAGACCTTTGGGGGTCGACGTCATGAAAAAAATCATGACGTCGGGGGTCGGGGTGCCCAGCAGGCGGCGCACCTCGTGCTCCTGCCGAACGGAGGCCAGGACGCCGGCGGCGCGGCCAGGGGGCGGCCAGCCGCCGGGCGAGCTTGTTGGGCGAGCAGGCCCCACGGGTGCGTTGGGGGCTGCCGCAGGTTTTTTGGTCGTCTCCGTTGGCGGCGGCACGCTCGCGCGAGGCCCGTCGAGCTTCCGTGGCGGCGGGCGGCGGCGGCCGCCTGCCCAAGTGGCGCGCAGCGGCGGGCGCCCTCCTTCGCCACCCCGGCGGGGCCGTAGCGATCGTCGCGGGGGCGGTGGCTGGGATGAGTCTTCCCGCCCAGGCGGGCGTCATCCCGGGCAGGCAGCGCATCAAGGGCGGCAAGGGCGGGATCGTCGCGGCAGTTGGCTCTGTCGCCAGGTCCTCGGAGCCCGCTCATTTCGACTTGTCCTCCCACGCGGACGAGTGCGATGGGAGCCTCTCCACCTGGGGCGGAGTCGGAGACCTTCCTGGAGTACGAGTACGAGAATGTGGACAAGCACTTCGACGCGATCGCGGAGGCCCGAGCTGCCAATGCCATTGCGTCCGCGTTCGCCGAGGACCTCAGGGAGGCCCGCGCGCAGGCGAGGTCCTACAAGGTGGCGCTCGCCAAGTAATGCGGCGTGCAGAAGGGCGACGGCTCCGACGACCCGGCCGCGCTGGGCGTCGAAGGCGGCGTCGGAGATTCCGCATTCCGAGGCGAAGGAGTGCGACGTGGTGCCGGAAGGCAAGGTCGTTGTCATGGCCGTGCATCTCGCGGAGGACTTCGTGGAATACGTCGCCGAGGAGCAGGCGGTGAAGGTGAAGGAAGGGCGGCACCATCGTATCGCGCAGGCGCTGGGCGGAGGACCTGCGCGACGCCATCCTGATAGCCGTCGAAGTGGAGGACGGAGTGGTGGAGGAGCTCGACGAGTACGAGGCGCGACGGCAGATGGAGATTGTCCCATCCACGTCGCAAGGCAGCGTGCTCCACATCAAGATGGCGGCGCAGGGAGACAGCGACGGCTTCCACGAGGTGCTCGACGCGGAGGGCGGTGCCATGGCGGCCGAGCGCGAAAAGCCGATCGAGCAGGTCCGCGCGCTGCCTGGGCGTGTCAGCCCCCTGGACGCGTTCGACACGGAGAGGCTGCGGGCCATCCTGCGCCGCGACATGAAATACTTTGCGATCCAGGGCCCCGAGGCCGCGAGCGCCCTCCGCGAGGTGCTGAACGAGGTCTCCTCGGCGGCGCCGAGCCGCCGTCCGTGAGTTGTGCCGCGCGCGGCGCCCGCGCACGCGCAGGTGATGCGCGGTGGACGGCCTGGGGGCTGCTAGACCCTCCTCGGAATCTTGCGCGGCGGGCCTGGCGCTTCGGGGTCCTGGCCGCTCGGGCTCGGGCCTCGGGAGGCCCTGGTTGTGCCCGCCCGCCCCCGCGGGGGTGGCTGCGGTCCGCCTGAACTGCCCGCGGGGTAGTCCAGGCTGGCTGGGACCGATGCCTGTCGGGGTTGCTTCGGGGCCCCCTCGGCGCTGGTCCGGCTCTGTCGCGCGCCGGCGGCGGCGAGTCTTTCTGACATCCCTGGCGGTCGTCTGCTAGAAGACGGCCGCCAGGGCCTTTTTCACGATGGCCCATCCATCTATCCTCCTCTTCCTCCTCCTCCTCCTCCTCCTCCTCCTCCTCCTCCACCTCCTCCTCCTCCTCCTCCTCCTCCTCCTCCTCCTCCGCCTTCGCCTCCTCCTCCTCCTCCTCCCCCTCCTCCTCCTCCTCCTCCTCCTCCTCCTCCTCCTCCTCCTTCTAATCCCCTCCTTCACCCCAGGAGGAAACGGGGGGGGGAGGTGGTGGAGGAGGAGGAAGAGGAGGAGGACCAGGGCAAGCCCAGGATGCGTCAGGCATGCCGCATCACGCCCTCCCGTCCGAAGTCGCTTCCCGTCGCACAAGTCCCCAGAAGCCTTCCCTTGGCATCGCTCGGACGTGTGCATTTTTCCTTCGGCGAGGGCCATCGAGGAGCATCATTGATCACTTGGCGAAAAAAGCCACGCACGAAACCTAAAAACGCACAGGGAATGGACGTCCGAGCGATGGCGAGCCCTTCAAAAAACTACATCCCGTGGCCCTGCCGCTCACGCGAGGGCCCCGCTCTGAAAAAAGTAAGTTGCGGCGCGGCCGCCCTGAGGTGTCCAGCGAGAGCCCCGCCCCCTCCATCTATCCTCCTCCTCCTCCTCCTCCTCCTCCTCCTCCTCCTCCTCCTCCTCCTCCCTCCTCCTCCTCCTCCTCCTCCTCCTCCTCCCCTCCTCCTCCTCCTCCTCCTCCTCCTCCTCCTCCTCCTCCTCCTCCTCTCCCTCCTCTCCCTCCTCTCCTCCTCTCCCTCCTCTCCCTCCTCCTCCCTCCTCCTCCTCCTCCTCCTCCTCCTCCTCCTCCTCCTCCTCCTCCTCCTCCTCCTCCTCCCTGCTCCTCCCCCTCCTCCTCCTCCTCCTCCCCCGCCCCCACCCCCCCATCCTTGTAACTGTTGCACAGTTCTATGCGTACGGTCACGAAGCTTGGGGTCTCACGCGGGAGGCCAAAGTTGGAAAGAAGCCGCCCTCCACCTGCGCACCATCAGCAGCAGCATCGTCATCCCGGTCGGCCTCGTCACCATCATCGGCATCGCCGTCATCAACAAGATCCTGCAATTCCTCCATCGTGCGCCCGCGACAACCCCCCCCCCTGTTGGCCCACAAGACCTCTCGTTGGGCGGGTCCCCGACCCCCAACGTCGCCATTTGTTGTTCACTGCGTGGAGACCCCAGAGGTCTCGACCCTCTGCCTGTCGGGCGGGTGGCAATGGGGGGTGCCCCACATGGGGGTGAAGAAGAGGGCTTGACGGGGCCCTAAAGGGGCCCCTTCTGGGCACCAGCTGGTTCCAAAAGGGGCCCAGGAAAGGTCCCTTCAGGGCCTCTTGCTTCAACCCCAATTTGAGTCACCCCCCATTACCACATCCTCCTCCTCCTCCTCCTCCTCCTCCTCCTCCTCCTCCTCCGCCTCCTCCTCCTCCTCCTCCTCCTCCTCCTCCTCCTCCTCCTCCTCTTCCTCCTCCTCCTCCTCCTCCTCCTCCTCCTCCTCCTCCTCCTCCTCCTCCTCTCTTTCTCCTCCTCCTTCGCATCCTCCTCCTCTGCCTGCTTCTCCTCCTCCTTCTGTCTCCTCCTCCTCCTCCTCCTCCTCCTCCTCCTCCTCCTCCTCCTCCTCCTCCCCATTGCCACACGCTCGAGCCGTGGGCGGCTCTATGTCAATCCAATCCGAGCATGGGTGTTCACAGCCCCGGGGGCCAGGCGAACGCCGCCCTGGGCCAAGATCTGCAGCATACGTGACGTCGGCCGTCCCTTGAGATCCGACGCCGCGACGACAATACAAAAGCAGCATCATTCACATTAATATTACACTTAAGATGAATATGTTCATACATAAGACAAACAAACAAACAAACAAACAAACAAACAAACAAACAAACAACAAACAAAAAAACGGCGGAGTCGCTGGCCCCATCTTTATGCAGCAGGTGTCGAGCCAGACTGATGTGCAGGGTCCTCGGGCCCGAAACCTATAGCGCGTAAACGCTTGGTGCGAAAGAAATGCAACACCCACATCTCAGGGCCGTTTTTTTCACAACGCGGGGGGTCCGGGATTCTCTTGGGCCCCCCGCCGGGTGCTGAGGTGTCCGACGCCGCGCTCACCTCCCTGAGCGTGCAGGCGCAGGGCTCGCTGGCCGCCGTGGGCGACTCCGACGGCCCTGCGGGGCTTTGAAAGATTGCAGCGGCGAGGAGGCGTGGGACGAGGAAGAGAGAGGGAAGTTCCGGAGGGGAGAAAACACACAGATACAAATAAATGTCGATTCACAGGCAGATGCGGGAACATGTGGGAAGTGGGGGGGAAGACGAACATCAAGAACATATGGGAAAATATCGCGGATCCTGGGATTTGCATGTACTTCCTTGCGCGCCCCTGGGCCCTTCCAGAAGTGCCCAGAGATGCTCGCGTCGTGAGGTGCTTGTTGGCCGTCTTCAGCCGCCCTCCCGCTGGGCCCCGGGGCCGTCAAGACAGGAACGGCTCGGGGTGCTAAGCCGGCCCCTGGGGGAGAGGGTCTCGATGTCTGCGGGGCCCGCCACAAAAATTATCCCGGCAAAGCAACCTAACAGCGATTTGTAGGAGCATATCTGGAAGCATTCCCCTTAAGATTCAGATGAGAATCCAGTTGTAGAATTCTGCTGTTCTCGCAGTCGTAGTCGCATTCGCGATGACAGTCGCAGTGGCAACGGCAGTCGCAGTCACAGCCTCAGCCTCAGCCTGCCTCAGCCTCAGCCTCAGCCTGCCTCAGCCTCAGCCTCAGCCTGCTTCAGCCTCAGCCTCAGTCTGCCTTCAGCCTCGGCCTCAGCCTCAGCCTGCCTCAGCCTCAGCCTGCATCAGCCTCAGCCTCAGCCTCAGCCTGCCTCAGCATCAGCCTGCCTCAGCCTCAGCCTCAGCCTGCCTCAGCCTCAGCCTCAGCCTGCTTCAGCCTCAGCCTCAGTCTGCCTTCAGCCTCTCAGCCTCCTGCCTCAGCCTCAGCCTGCATCAGCCTCAGCCTCAGCCTCAGCCTGCCTCAGCATCAGCCTGCCTCAGCCTCAGCCTGCCTCTGCCTCAGCCTCAGCCTGCTTCAGCCTCAGCCTCAGTCTGCCTTCAGCCTCGGCCTCAGCCTCAGCCTGCCTCAGCCTCAGCCTGCATCAGCCTCAGCCTCAGCCTCAGCCTGCCTCAGCATCAGCCTGCCTCAGCCTCAGCCTCAGCCTGCCTCAGCCTCAGCCTCAGCCTGCCTTCAGCCTCGGCCTCAGCCTCAGCCTGCCTCAGCCTCAGCCTGCATCAGCCTCAGCCTCAGCCTCAGCCTGCCTCAGCATCAGCCTGCCTCAGCCTCAGCCTCAGCCTGCCTCAGCCTCAGCCTCAGCCTGCTTCAGCCTCAGCCTCAGTCTGCCTTCAGCCTCGGCCTCAGCCTCAGCCTGCCTCAGCCTCAGCCTGCATCAGCCTCAGCCTCAGCCTCAGCCTGCCTCCTCAGCCTGCCTCAGCCTCAGCCTCAGCCTGCCTCAGCCTCAGCCTCAGCCTGCTTCAGCCTCAGCCTCAGTCTGCCTTCAGCCTCGGCCTCAGCCTCAGCCTGCCTCAGCCTCAGCCTGCATCAGCCTCAGCCTCAGCCTCAGCCTGCCTCAGCATCAGCCCTCAGCCTCAGCCTCAGCCTGCCTCAGCCTCAGCCTCAGCCTGCTTCAGCCTCAGCCTCAGTCTGCCTTCAGCCTCGGCCTCAGCCTCAGCCTGCCTCAGCCTCAGCCTGCATCAGCCTCAGCCTCAGCCTCAGCCTGCCTCAGCATCAGCCTGCCTCAGCCTCAGCCTCAGCCTGCCTCAGCCTCAGCCTCAGCCTGCTTCAGCCTCAGCCTCAGTCTGCCTTCAGCCTCGGCCTCAGCCTCAGCCTGCCTCAGCCTCAGCCTGCCTCAGCCTCACCATCAGCCTGCCTCAGCATTCAAAATGTGGCCCAGGAATGGAGTTCTGGGAACTCGAAGACCACGAAGTGGCCTACAGTTGGCTCCGGGCATTCAAAATCATGCCCAGGAATGGAGTTCTGGGAACTCGAAGACCACGAAGTGGCCTACAGTTGGCTCCGGGCATTCAAAATCATGCCCAGGAATGGAGTTCTGGGAACTCGAAGACCACGAAGTGGCCCACAGTTTGCTCCGGGCATTCAAAGTCATGCCCAGGAATGGAGTTCTGGGAGCTCGAAGAACACGAAGTGGCCTACAGCTGGCTCCTGGCATTCAAAATCATGTCCAGGAATGGAGTTCTTGGAACTCGAAGACCACGAAGTGCGCTACTGTTGGCTAAAAGAGGAGTCCCCGGATTCCCCTGGATCCCGTCCGGATCCCGCCCAGACCCCCTTGGGGAGTCATGATGCTTTCTTTTGACACTACTAGAAAGCTATCAGTCTTCGCTGTTAGGTTGAAAAACATTATGCAGCGCATGCCTGGGGGCGGAAGTCGTGCGTCTAGACCTCCCAGATGGGATCGGAGTAGATGGGGTCGGAGGATCGCGCCGCATCGCCGATGCACCGACGATGCGGCTCGATGAGGAGACCGATTTGCTTCGCGCGGACGTCGCCGATGCATCGCCGGCGTCACCGATGTATCGCCGGTGCATCACCGATGTATCGCCGATGCGGCGCGATCCTCCGACCCAATCTACTCCGACCCCAGCTAGGAGGCCTCTAGTGAGGCAGGGGGGATCGAATCTCGAGCTTTGTGGTGCTGGGATGTTGCCCTGAGAGCAGCTTGTCTGGAAGGGTCGTATCCTTCTTTGAAAGCCCGGTGGGGGACCCCCAGGCCCCCGAAGCCGGTGTCCCATCGGAGCCCCCCGTCGTTCAGGGAAACGAGCAATGGCACAAACATGAAAATTCAGAGGTCCGCGCTGATTTCTTGGATCGGCGCTTCCCTGGCACGCCAGGGGCGGCGCCGGAGGCGCCGCCAGGGGGGTCCAGTAGTCAAGCAATATCCCCAAAAAGGTACATCAAAAGTAGAAAAACAAAAACACACAAAGAAACGTCCCCAGGCGATTTGTTTTACTACGTTTGGAGATTCCTCCTGTAGAGGGACAGGCCCGACGTAAGTCTTGTGGGGCCGCAGTGCCCTCCCTTTGCCACGGCGGGGCTCCTCTCGCCTCGAAATGGAGAGCCCAGCCCGGCGATGAATCCAGCGGCCGCCTCGCCTTCCTTCTCCAACCCTTGCCTCCTCCTCCTCCTCCTCCTCCTCCTCCTCCTCCTCCTCCTCCTCCTCCTCCTCCTCCTCCTCCTCCTCCTCCTCCCCCTCCTCCTCCCCTCCCCTCCCTCCTCCTCCTCCTCCTCCTCCTCCTCCTCCTCCTCCTCCTCCTCCTCCTCCTCCTCCTCCTCCTGCCCTCTCCCCTCCCCCTCCTCCTCGATCCCTCGACCCCCCTCGACCCCCCCCCCGCTCGCCGCCGAGGAGGGCCCCCCTCCGCCCGCGGGAGCAGGCCTCCGCGGAGGCCGGGGCCCGGCGGCAGGGACCCGCCGCGCCATGGACGCCCGAGGCGGAGACTGCCACAAAAGGGGGCGGCGCGGGGCGCGGCGCGCGGCACAAACCAGGCGCCACACCAGGCAAAGTGCGAGGACGCCGTGGGCGAAATGATCTGGAAAGAGAAGGCCAAGACAGGCAGGTGGCGAGGCTGCTTCAGGCAGGTGGCGAAACTGCCACAAAAAGGGGCGGCGCGGGGCGCGGCGCGCGGCACAAGCCTTTGGACGCCCGAAATGGGTACGGAGAGAATGGGTACAGTGCCCAACAGCAGTTCCTGTTCATTCTGAACAGGGCCCGCCTTCCGCGCCGCCGCGGCCTGTGTCCACTTGAGACAGAAGGCCGCCTGCCCAACAGCGGCCGCTGTTGGTTTGGGACAACATTTGTTGTTGGGCATTGTACCCATTTTTTCCGTACCCATTCCGGGCGTGCAAAAAACCAGGCGCCACACCAGGCAAACTGCGAGGACGCCGCGGGCGAAAGGATCCGGAAAGAGAAGGCCAAGACGGGACGGGCAGGTGGCGAGGCTGCTTCAGGCGAAGCGTTTGGAAGCCAGCGGCGGCGCGGGGCGCGAGAGGCGTCTGGGGCAGAGGCTGCCGGGGGCGGGCGCGAGGCGCGGGGCCGCGGAGCATCGGGCCGGGCGAAAGGGGGGGGGGCAGGGAAAGGGGGGGGTACGAAACCTGCTGCGTGCAGCTCGTTTCGGCCCCACTGAGGGGCCCAGTCCTCGATGTATGGCCGCTTCCTGGCGCCGGGAGGCGCCGGGGAAATCAGCCACGTGAGCTGATTCTCAAACCCCCCCCTTGCTATTGCTATCCCCCCCTTTCGCCCGGCCCGAGAGGAGGGGCCTCGGGGCCGCGGAGGCGGCGAGGGCGTCGGAGCGGGGACTCGGGCGCAAAGGCGCCCGCCCAAGAGCGGCCGGGAGCGCTCGGAGGCGAGCCAGAGGCGGAGGAGGTGGAGTCGTTGGCGCCGCGGCGTCTCCGTGCCCCAGGTGGCCGGAGGGACGCCCACGAGAGCCCGGACACCAGTCCAGGGCCCAGGGTGGGCCTGTCGAGGGCTGGTGGTGGTGCATGGTTTGGAGCTCTCCTAGGTGGTCGTGCGGCGCACTCGCAGCGGGAGCCAAGGCCTTGGCCCCTCGTCCGCCGCTCCAGCTCGCCGCCGCGCACGACACGCGGCCGGCGTGCGGTGGGCCCTCGCTGCAGGGGGGCTCGGCCACCGGAAGCCTTCGACCAGAAGCCCGACCGTGAGACCCCAGGACGTCCATTGATGTTTGGTGTGAGCGTCACGCTTTCCATGGCAAAACCATCGGAACCCAAGAAGCCCAGGGCACCCTGGAGGCAAGCAGGGTGTTTCTTGGCATATGTTCCCACTGCACTTCTCGTCGCGCAGCCTGGCCGCGTTGCCGAACCTCTCCTCGACCACGCCTCTGCTCGATTTCGGCATGGTCCCCAGAGGAGGCTTTGTCCCTGTCTCGATTCCCGCAATGCGTTGCTTTCCTTCCGCGCGAGGCCGATGAGAGACAGCTGGGGGCCGGGCCCGACTCGACGGGCTGCGTCTGGCACACTTGCACGCTGAGCTCATCGACCAAAAGCGTGGTAGATTGTTATTTGGTTCGCGGGCTTGTCGCGCAGGCCCAACAACAGCCGACGTGATTTTTGCGGCGGCGCCTGGATCCAGAGGTGGGTTCAGGCCAGAATTTCGAGGCGACCCAAGTCGCGGCGACGAGGAGCCACACAGACGTCCAAAGATGTGGAAAGACCGTGGGACGCCTCGATCTTCGAAGCTCAGCCCTCGATCATCCTCGACTTGACGATGGCCGCCTCCTCCTCCTCCTCCTCCTCCTCCTCCTCCTCCTCCTACTCCCCCTAGTCTGCGTTGGAGCTCAAGCAAATTGAGCCCCGACGGAGGGAAGATTTTCACTAACACCCTCACACGACTTACGGACTCTGACAGCCACACAGGTTGTTCTGCTGGGGCCAGGGAATTAGAAAGAGGCAAAACAAGCATAACAGTCCCTGCAGCCGTTCCGATATCGCACCTCTTTGCGATCCTTTCCAGAGCGCCTGGGTGGTGAACCAGTGATGGACTTCTCTTGTGCCGCATCTTTCTTAATTTTCGGTGGAATATTCGAGCGTGACAGAAAAAAACGAGGAGCCGAAGACGCAGAGAACGGACCCGCACCCACGCCCAGAAATGCCAGTTTGCCAGGATTGCAATGTGTGAGCAGTTGGTTGCTCAAGCCCCGGGAACCGACACCGACGCGGACAACAGCGAGGACGACAACGGCCGCACCGAGGACTTCGCCCAATTGCCCACGGGGGCGCGCCCAAGTTCACGAGAGGGGCAGGCAGGCAGACGGCGGCGGGGGAGTTCGCAGAGCTTGCTCGGCTCCCCCCTCCCCCTGCGTCCTGCGGGGCCCAGGGGGGGAGAGCTGCCAGGGGAGTTTGCAGAGCCGCCTCGGCTCCCCTGAGCGCCTGCGCCCGCACGGGCACAGGAGCAGCCCGCTTCAACCGCGACCGAATCCATCCGTCTGGAAACGCTGCTCTTGGAGATCGAAGAACAACTGCGCCTGGAATCCGATTGGCCCTGCTTTGCATTCGATCGTTCGCCAGAGAGCACAATTGGAGGACAACGGTCCGAGGGAAGATGGAGGCCCCGAGGTGCGAAGGCAGCCAATGGGTGCCGATGAAGAACTTCGAAAGCCCATACACGAATCACAGTATGTGGACATGTTGTCCCAGGAGATCGAAGCACAAATGGCCCAATGGAACCCGATCGGCCCTGCTTCGCACTCATTCGTTTGCCGGAGGATGAAGTTTCCAGAGACAAGCAAGAGAGAAGATGGAGGCCCACAGGTTCGGATGTCAGGATGAATCTCGAAAACCCATTTGGAGTCCGGCAGACCTGCCGGTGGACCTAGGAAAAGGCAAGCTTTTCGGTGAATCCGAAGATGCGCCAATCTCTGAGGCAGAGGACCTCTTTCAGAGACAACGGATGGACTCTCGCGGAAAGCCGGATAAGGAGAAGGAGGTTTGTCTCAATGATGATTTTAGGATACAATGTGTCTGCTGATCTTCGGTTTTACTACAGCCTTTAACGAAGGAATATCTAATCGCGGAATGCAAACACTGTGCACAGAAGATGGGATGGGCATTGGAGTACATTGTTGCAGTATTAGAATTTCTGCTTGACAAAGGGATTGCGCCGATGAAGAGGAACCGGAGGGGGAGTAGGCAGTTGAAGGAACGGGACCGTTAAAAAAATCCCAATGGGGGCTCATTATGGCATCATGGTGGTAAATGAATCAACGATTGAAGAGTTTGTCGTCGAAGAGCGGAACCGCAGTGGCCACGGACAAACCGTGGAGGGCATCATCTATGATTTTCTGCGGAACAAGATTAGCCAGTATTTGTCCACGGAGTAAATACTGCACTTATTAGCTAACAGAGGTACATCCCATACTTCGCCGAGAGTGGAATTTGCTATTCCAACATGGGAAGCATTGAGGATTTTATCATGTTGGGAGACAAGTACATATCTGCCTCACATGAGACAGGCGAGACGGGACAAGTTGAAGCAAAAAGAGCAAGGGCCGGGCATTTCTGAGCGCGTGTGCCGCGGGATGCATTTGTCTCAGCGCAGGAAGAGCCGCACGCATTAGCATTAGCGAGGGCATCTCGGAGTGCAGGCTCTCCTGTCCTCTCCCCTGCTGCTGCTGTTGCTGCCTCTTCCGCTTGCCCCCTCCCTTCTCTTCCTCGGTCCTCTCTCTGTAGGAAAGCAAGAAGAATTTGGCTCTCGAACTAAAGAGGGACAAAGGGAGCGCTCCTTCTTCTTGGGCAGGCCTGCGCGCACGTGCCATCGGCGTAGGCCCTGGCAGAACGTGCCGGCGGTGCCGCACCCCTTGGGCTCGCAGCAGAGCTACTGACTGGCCATCCAGGGCTCCCTGCGAACAGGCCTGCACGATCGCCTGTGGTGGAGGCGGGGGGAAGTGATGGGGTTGGGGTGAGGAGGGCAGCGTGCACGCCTAGTGGCCGGTGTGCCCGCTGGTCTATGCGCAGACCTTGGCAGTTCTCTCGATATGATGTCGACGGGTTGCCGGGTCCTTGTTGCAAGCTCTTCACGCAGGGGAATTACGCATACGCTCCACACTGCACCTTAGCGGGCGCATTGACGTTGAGACCCCCTCATGCGGATGTCCTGTCCTGTCCTGTCCTCTCCTTCCCCTCCTCTTCGGGCCACGAAGGCCAGCCCGAGGGTTGCCCAGCTCTTGACGGTACTCTGCCAAACTTCTGGATTTGGCGGAGCGCGTCGGCCGCCCGCGCCTGCTAGCAAATCTCCGCGGATGCCGCCCGCTGCCGCGCGCTCGGCATCACTCAAACATGTCTGTCGCCGACTTCGGCCTCCAAGGTTCCTGTTTTTTCCCACGCGTCCTTATGATACGCTTTGACTGAAAAGTCCGTCGGCTGGCCACGCCTCCGGTCCTTCGCCCTCGGTGGCGGGCGGCGCCTCCGCGGGCACAGCACGCGGCACGGCCTGCAGCCCTGCGCCCGAGGCCCGAGGTGTCAGCCGCGGCCGCGGGTGCACTCCCAGCAGGGTGGCGCCAGGAGCTGACGGCGCGCACAGGGGGGGTGGGGGAGGGGGGAAGGCTTCTTAGAAGCACCCCTGCTTTTTCGAAGACGCGAGTTTCGTCTACAGCTGTGAGGCCAGCGCCTGCTAAGGAGCAGCCTCCTTCTAAGAAGCCTTCCCCTCCTCTCCCCTGCCCCCCCTTTTCTGCGCGCCGCCAAGCCGCAGAGGCAGAGGCCTGGCCCCGAGGCTGGCACCCAATCGCAGCCAAGAGGCGACGGTGGTTGCAGCGCCTCAGCTCTCAGGGTGCGCCCCGGGAACGCGCGGAGGCAGAGGCAGCCCGGGGCACTCGGGGCCCAAACCGCCCAGGGTAGGCGAGGAGGAGAAAGAGGATGTGGAGGTCAGAACGAGAAGCCGGATGATGTGCTTGCAGTTCTGCTGTATCAGTCATACTCTTAAGCAGCCTGGGGAGAGTATATGCTGGTAAAGGAGGAGGAGGAGGAGGAGGAGGAGGAGGAGGAGGAGGACAGATGAGAGAGGCGGGGAACGGGGGGCGGAAGAGGAGAAGGAAGGAGGGAATCAGGAAGGTCAATAGCAAGCACAAACAAGCAAGCAGACAAGCAACATCTGAACGAGAGAGATGTGGTATAAGTAGCGAAAGAGAGAGAGAGAGGGGGGGAATATGTCTCCATCTCCTTAATCCCCCTCCGCCCTGCTTCTCCTGCCGCAGGTCTCCTCCTCCTCTTCCTCCTCATCCTCTACGTCTTCATCGTCATCATCATCATCATCATCATCATCATCATCATCATCATCATCATCATCATCATCATCATCATCATCATCATCATCATCCTTCCTCCTTCCTCCTTCCTCCTTCCTCCTTCCTCCTTCCTCCTTCCTCCTTCCTCCTTCCTGTTCCTCCTTCTCCTCCTCCTCCTCCTCGTCATCGTCCCTCCCTCACTCCCTCCCTCCCACCCTATCCCGCCCCACACTCCGAAAGAAAAACGAGGGAGCAGCACCGCATGGCACCATCACAATCCCAGGCGTCGTCACGCTGCTGAAACTCTGCGACGCCCTGGCGCAGCCTGGCCCCAACGAGAAGAACGTCGTCGGGCAGATCTTCGACCGCGAAACGAGGCCTGCCGCTCAGGGCGCTGAAGGAAGGACCTCCCCTCCCGAACAAGCTGGCGCCGTGGAAAAGCATGCGAGGCGTACCCAACCTATTTTCCACATGCGGCAACTCTCAGAAGGAGTGCTCTTCACAAAGGAAAGCATGGAGAGACACGCAGCACGCTTGCCCACGAAAGGATCGACGGCTCTGCAGTTTGCAGCCTCATTGGGGGCCGCGAGGTCTCCTCTGGGTTTGCTTGCAACCCCACTCCACTGGGCCGATCAGAAGCCGGCGGAAGTGGGGATAGCTGCGCAGCTCGCAGCCACCCAGGCAGCAGCGAGGTCCCGTCTGGGTGCGCGTGGCCCCCGACTCCGCTGGACCTCCCAGGAGCCCACGAAAGTGTGAACAGTTGCGCACATCGCAGCCACCCAGGCAGCAGCGAGGTCCACTCTGGGTGCGCGTGTCCCCCGATTCTGCTGGAGCCCACGACAGTGGTGGCAATTGCGCAGTGCGCAGCCACCCAGGAGGCAGCGAGATCCTGTCTGAGTGCGCGTGGCCCCCGACTCCGCTGGACCTCCCAGGAACCCACGAAAGTCGGAACAGCTGCGCAGTTCGCAGCCACCCAGGCAGCAGCGAGGTCCCGTCTGGGTGCGCGTGGCCCCCGATTCTGCTGGACCGTCCAGGGGCCCAAGGAAGTGGTGACAATGGCGCAGTTCGCAGCCACCCAGGCAGCAGCGAGGTCCCGTCTGGGTGCGCGTGGCCCCCGACTCTGCTGGACCTCCCAGGAGCCCACGACAGTGGCGACAGTTGTACAGTTCGCAGCCTCCGCAGGCACGCGGCAGGAGGAGGGATGCGGGAGAGGTGGAGATTTCGATTTTTGTTCGACACGAGAACCCAACACAATACACAGGAGGCTTGGGAACAACAGCAAAAAACACGACGGAAGCTTTGCATTTGTTCGGCCTCCGAGAGCCCTTGCCGGGCCGCGTGAACGTCAAACAGTAGCTCGGAATGAGAAGTAGGCCCTGGCGACAGGGTCGGAACGTCTGGGGGCCGCGTGTGGAAAAATAAAGCATCGCATGTCTAGGCCTTCGAATTCGAGTCGTCGAGAAGTCGACTTCCCGCCCTCGTCGGAAGCTGTCGGCAGACGCCGCGGAGGTGGCGCGGAAAACATTGACAGCTTCGTCCGCGAAGTTCGGGAAGCTGGATAAAGCAAAAGATGGTTCCAAAGAGAGGCCAACACGGGTGCACCCAGGGAGTTAGGAGCCGACCATGTGTTTGTTCTATGGATATGTCGGAGTAGCGGCTGGCCCCCTTGGGGGGGAGCAGCACGTGCATTCAGTTTAGTTTGCTTGAGGATACTGCATGAGCCGCAATCAGCCTGGAACGGGCTATCTTGGATAGAATCGCGACGAGCACGCATAAATAGATCCCGGAAAGGGGGTCTGGGCATCTGTCCAGAGGCGTTCCAGAGGAGTGCTAGAGCGGTCAAACGGAGGAAGAGGGGTACCAAAGCGAATCCGCCGATACGTCCAGCGATTTTGAGTACCATCTGCGCGCCGATTTGGGGCGGTCTCCGAGACTGGTCGGAAGCAGAGGTGGGTACGCATCGTGTATGTCCAGAGGGCTTCGGCCTCTCGGGCGCCTTCATGTGCTTCGTCGGGGCCTTTGGTGTACCCCAGCTTCGTTCAGGTCTGGGTTTTGCTACGCCGTGTCGGCCTGTCTTGCAGCTATCAGAGTGTGAACTACCTACCCCGCTTTCGCTTCCAGGCAAAACCAAGTCATACCACGCGCCTCCTCGTCAAGCGGCCTGACCAGTACATGCCGTAGTTTGGCATCGCTTGGTATCTCTTGGAAGAGAGGGTGGTCATTCGAGGTAGGTTTGTTTGCCCCCTAAGCTAGTTTGGTTCGTCATCGGATGTCGGGAAAACTCTGGAGCGGAACCCCTTGGACCGTAAGATCTACCGGGTTCGGCCCACCTTTGGTGCCGTTGCGTCCGCGACGACCGGCTGACTTCGCGAAAACGTTGTTTTTTGTTGTTGCTGTTTTCATGAGCCGCCCAAGTACCTATCAGAAGGTGCCCGCCTCATCCTCATCATCCTCCTCCTGCTGAGCCGCCTTCTGAGCAAGGTGCGCGTGTTTTTCTTCTTCTTCTTGTTCCTCGTGCTCCTCTTTCCCCGCCCTCTCATCGAAGATCTTGGGGCCCACTCGGGGCCCTTGTGGGTTCTCTTTGGGGCTTCTTGGGGCGAGCTGCCTTTGGTCCCCTCGGGCTCATCTTGAGGATTTCTTCGTGACCGCCCCTGGCCAGTGGGGCGTCTCGGGGTCTTCGTTGAGCATTGGTACGCGTGGTTTGGGCTCTCTCGGAACACTATTGGGGCAAGCTGGGGATCTCACTCGGCATCGCTCGGACGTGTGTATTTTTCCTTCGGCGGAGACCATCGAGGAGCATCCTTGATCAGTTGGCGAAAAAAACACGCACGAAACCGAAAAAAGCACACGGAATGGACGTCCGAGCGACGGCAAGCTCATGAGCAGGGCGCTGCCGGGCCCCTCTCGAAGTCCTCTGGGGCTTTTGGGCCAATACCCTACATCATGGTGGTCGCACACACGCGGTGGCAAAATATGGATCACAGATACGGCGAGGTTTTCTGGTCCGAAGCGTGTTTTGTCAGTTGGTTGTCCAGTTTTCCAGCTCTGAGCAGTCAGTGGCTTAACACGGCGAGGCGCGAGAAGAACTTGGAGGCGATCAAGAAGCAGTCCGGGAAGCCGACGGGCGCAAAGGAGGACAAGGTCCTTGCGCGATTGAAAGTTCAGGAGTAGTCAAGACGAGATCCAGGGATGGGGGGATGTCGGGAGGGGAAGGAGAGCCCAGACGAGGTCCAGAGATGAGGGGAGGTCGGAGGGGAAGGGAGGGGAGGGAGAGCCGAAAGAGATCGGGGTGGAGGAGGGGCATTTCCTTGGCTACCCCCCCCCCCCGCACAAGGGAGGACGCCGAACGAAATGCCGCCATCCGCGCAGCCCTGAGCCACTCTCCTGGCCCCCACCCCCAGACGCCGCGAAAAGGCCCGCGCCGCGATCACCATCGACCGGGCGGAGTACGAGGAGCGCGAGAAGGCGTTCTTCAGCGACGTGGGCCTCTCGGGGGACGACCTGGGCACCAAGCTGACAGGCGTGAAGGCCGTGGTCGCGAAGGCGTGAGGCCCTCCGGCGCGCACCAGCGCCGCCCTGGCAGCGGAGGCGAGGGGCGCCGAAGAGGAGGAGCTCGGTATCGCTCGGACGTGTGCGCTGTTTCTCGGCGGGGACTATTGAGGAGCATCCTGGATCCTCCTGCGAAAAAGCCACGCACGGAACCGAAAAAGCACAGGGAATGGACGTCTGAGCGACGGTGTGGGGGGAGGAGGAGGAGGAGGGGAAGGGGAAGGGGGGGGATGGGAAGGCCGAGGAGCAGGAGCTGGAGAGGGAGGAGCAGCATTGCCCAGCAAGTGGAGGGAAACCCAGCCTGGAGGGTTGCAGTCGACCTGCTGAGGGCACGCAAAGCAGCCTTCTCTCTGCCACCGCCGGTGGGGGCTCCGCCATGCTATCAAGTAGCTTGCGCGGAGTCAGCCTTGGACCGCCAGCGCCCCAGCCTGCAGAAAAGGAGATCGCCTGGCGGCGGCTACCACCACCATCGCCGGCACCGCCTATGCAGACCCAGTTTGTGCCGCGGGTCTTGGATGCGAGGTATGTTGCCTCATCGTCAGCAGGAGATGCAAGATGTGACGCATCATCTATATCTGATCATGTTTCTCAGGCGGCTTGGCGCGAGCTCGCCCGCTTCCCGGTGGTTCTCCAGCTTCTTTCTGCCAGGCCAGATTCGTTTGCAAAGGGCGCAGAAATGAACGAAAGATATGGTGGTGGCGTGACGGATGGCGTCCACACAGATTCACTAGCGGATATCGTCGGTGTCCAATAGCCGCAACACTCGATGCAAGTAGGATCGTGGACCGTGGGGGTGGGCAGACAACCCACCGCAAACGAAAATTGATTGTACCCCAAAGAATGCACCACATGGATTTCACTGCATAGATTTCACACTACGGATCGTATCACATAGGCTGCACCACTGAGATCGCACCACATAGATTGCACCACAAAGGGTGCACATAATATTTACGACCGCACTGTTTGCACCACAGGATGCACAACATGAAGTGCACAACTTAGATAGCACCACAAAGGTTACACAACATGCAGTGGTAGAACCACATTATTCGGGGCCCACTATGTCTAGCATTGCGCAAGCCACGTTGTGCAATCAATATGGTGCAATCTATGTGGTGCAAGGCGCGCAACTTACGTTGTTCAATATATGTGGGAGGCAACCGATGTGGCGCAATTCGCCTTGCCGGTCTTGAAGATGACAAATCCACTGTTCGCGCAATCGTCCCACCCACCCATCTGCAACTTGGTTTGCAAAACCCATGCGGCGGCGATTGCCATAACTGTTTGGCGTTGGTTGGCGCATTGCTGCGGCCGCGTTAGCCCGCGAAGGCTCGTGCGCAAAGCGGCCGCCGAAAGTCTGGCGCGACCGACGCGGCCGCGATGGCGCTGAACCGTGGGTCACCTGCGTGTTGCCTGTTTAAACGGAAAGCGCATTCTACGGGAATGCATCGCTTCAGGTTGAGGCTTGTTTTTCAACCAGTTGTTCGGTGACCCAGCCAGCCTTGGGTCACTTGCGCGGTGCCTGCTCCGTTCGGAAAACGCATCGGGTGGAAATGATGTATTTCATGTTGATGCCAGAAATGCATCTGAAACGATTCAGTTGTTCAACAAGTTGTCGGGTGACCCACCTGGCCGTAGGTCACCTGCGGTGTGCCTGCTCCTCGCGGGAAACGCAACGAGTGGGAATGTGCCACCTCATGCCGAAGCCCCGAATGCAAGAGGAACGATAAGTTGTCATTCAACATGTTGCCGTGGAAACAAAAGTGAACCCTCAAAGGTGGCCCATTCGAACACCAAGACACCATGGGTTCTGGTGTACGTCTCTCATCACGTGCAACGCAGAACGCTCCAGGAACTAAAGTTAATCCTCGGCGGTGGCACATTGGATTTCCCAGTTAACGTGCGCTCTTGCGCTTGTTCTTGTAATGGGCAGTACAGAACGCTCGACGCGCGCGTGCGCGTCTGGAGCGTCGCTACGTTGCCTTGCGCACAAAAGCTAACTCTCAGCGATGGCCGTATAGATTTACAAGCTCACATGTGTTATGGTCTATGACTCTGTTGATGGGCGACACAAAAGCTCCACGCTGCGCGTTGTCCAGACTGGCAAAGCCGCCACGTTTCTGATAAAACAAAGGTGAACCCTTAGCGGTGGCCGATTTGATTACCAAGTTTCCTAGGGCTCTGGCGCATGCTTTCCACTATGTGCAGCCCAGAAGGCAGCAGAACGTTTCACGCGCGCGGAAACGCACGGGTGGCCATGGTCACGCGCGCGCGTGGAGCGTTGTGAATTGCCCTGGGCAGTAAAGCCGCCATGCTGCAGTGGTGACAGATTGGATTTCCACGTTCAGATGGTATCTGGTGCATGTTAATTTCGGTGGCGCGGGCGCGCGGGTGACCATAGCCTACCAACGACATACACATGGACTGCCCCTGGCTTGCCTACGCGCTGCCCATGGCCTACACATTGCCCGCAAGCATTCGCGAATCCGCCGATCAGGACGCCCCAGTTTTCGTTGCGTTTGAAATTGCCGTTGTGTTTCCCTCCTTGGGCCATGATTGGCTCTGGGCTGTGTTGCGGCGATTCGGGCGCCCCGCGGGATTTCGAAATCCGACTTCGGGTTTCTATGCCGCGCCCAGAAGCCATGCCGCTGTCGACGGCGAATAGCAGTTCATGCTCCACCTGCAGTCCGGCGCCACGCATGGATACCCAGTGTTAGGCTCGGCCTGGGCCATAGGGATGGATCCGATCTTGCGACACTTAGCGGGGGAGGTTTCGCCGTCGTCGCTGGGCGAGCGCCGCGGGGTCGTGCCAGGATGCGCTGATGACGCTGGCCTCGTCCAGCCTCGCTTGGCTGATCTGCCGAGAGCGTTTCCAGTCTTTCAAGCCGCCGAGCGCCTGGCCTATCTTCGCCTGCAAACAACCAAAACAGTCGTCGCGCCGCTATGGACAGACGCAACCGCCTCCGTAGATGCACGTATCCGGCGCCCCCTGGAACGTCACTTTCCAACGTGGGCGGACATTTCCATTGCTTTGCACGCGAAATATCTCGGCGTCCAATTCGGGCCAGGGGCCACCGGGGCCGCCATTTGGGCTGATGCCGCTCGCAGGCGGCGAACTCGCACGAGTGAAATTCCCGCAGCAGACAGCCCGACGAACGTGAGCTTCTTGTTATGTAATAGCACTGCCCTGTCTGCGTTGAGCTATCTCGCGCAGCTCTACCCGATCCCGCGACGGGTGCTGCTGAAGGAGAAATTCGCATTACACAAAGTTATGCGCCTTCCTCCGAGCACCGCTCGGAAGGCTGATCGCTTTGCCCGTGAGGATCACGCGTTCATCTCACCAGCACCTGCGCAGATTCTCAGCACGTCGAGTCTGTGGCGCTGCGCGCATCACACCCTGGCAGGATGGGAGGAAGATCTTCGCTCCTGGTCGGAGCAGGCGGTGAGAGATCTGCCGCTCGTCGCATGGCTCAGGCAGAAGTGTAGCGCGCCGTGCTGGAAGATCTCGCAAGGCATTCTGCAAAGATTTCAATCGCTCCAGGTGCATACTCCTGACCCGAGCGCGACCGACGCTCAATGGATGAATGCCGCTTCCGCTGCTCTCGATGAGTTCAGTAACGCCCATGCAGCTGGTCGCAAAGGTCAGGTGCAGCGCATCGTCTCCGCCTATTGGCGTCGCTCCCTCGTCCCCCTTGATTTTCCAGTTCACCATTGGCAAGCGACTGCGCGCATGGGGTTTGCTGCAGCAGATAACGGGGTTGGTCGGGGAACGGTGGGCGGAATAACTCTCCGCCTTGCGGGCACAGCGCCCTGCTTCGCAATGGTCAGTGCTCGAACCCTCGCAGGAGGGTGGGCGGCGTCTCACCGCATGCACGTCTGTGGCACCGCACCCTGCCTGCTCGGGTGCGCCGATGTGCCCGACGCGATCGCTCAGTACCTCATTTGTCTCCTCCTTCGCCGCCTCCTTGACTGCTCCCCCTCTCCTATCCACTTGCTGGGCCTCGCGGCCCCGAACGAGCACAAGACCGCCAGTTGTGCGATGAGCCGTGCAGGAGCATTGGCGCTCTGTGTCCTGGCGTTCCAGCTTTAACACAAAGCCAAGGCCGTGTGCGAGCTTGGCCAGCCGCTGCGCACCGAGCAGCGCGATGGCGTCCTAGCAGTAGCCAGTCACGCCACATTCAAGTATGCCGCTGGTGGACGAACCACTTGAAGATACGGACGACCATCATCATCATCATCATCATCATCATCATCATCACCATCACCATCATCATCATCATCATCATCATCATCATCAGCATCATCATCATCATCATCATCATCAACAGCATCGCCATCGTCATCGTCATCGTCTTCGGCATCGCCGCCACCATTATCAGCAGCATCCATCAGCATCCACGACGCAGTCCTCCGTTGCCCTCTTCGTCTCCTCTCCTCTCCACCATCATCATCAGAAGTGTCCCATGTCTTATCATCCTCATCCTCACGTTCCGCCCCTCGAAGCAGGTTGGCGTTACGCAGCTGGGGGGAGTCACAAATAATTGCAACGAGGTCGCATGACATTGGAGGCTGGTCTGTGCTGTATTTCCAAGTTACCTGGCGTTGTTGGGCTTCACGTTGCGGTGCCAGGTTCGGCTGTCGCAAAATGTATGATGAAGGCACGTAATACGTTGCAGCCCGGTTGGCGGTTGGCTGCTCGAAAATCCGCCATGCGCAGTACCCAGCTGCCTGCGGCAAACCCCGCCACTGCCAGCGCTGCTTGGATGTAGCTTCAGACGTCTTGGGGCAAGCTCTTGTCGTCGCTCGGACGTGTTGTTGTTTTTTTCGGCGATGGCCGTCGAGGGGTATCCTGGGCCATACTGCGAAACACACACGCACACACACACACACACACACGAAAGCGAACAAGTGCACGGGGAATGGACGTTTGAGCGACGGTGCGAATTGGGAAAAAAGGGGTCCTGGGGCCGCCTCAGGGGCGGTATTGGGGCCGTGTT